CACTTTCAAAACGCGATCCATACATTTCTTTAGTACATCTTTTACTCTCATAATGTAAACATCGGCTCTGCCTTCACTCTCGGGGCTTAAAATCTTTCAAAACAAATTGAACAAATCTTAAAATAATTGTCATAAATAATAAATCGCTAGCTTAGAAAGAAAAGTTGCTAAGTCCCATTTTAAAAATTTTACAGGAGAGGAAAAAATCTTCCTATAGCCATTTTCTTTAACTATTTCGCAAGACTTTGAATCAAACATTTTGCGCGTTTAAAGCAAAGCAAAACTCCATAAAGGCCGGTCCACATAGAACTTTCGCGTTGGCTTTGGCGATGGCGTTGGTTTGACAGAACGCACGTTAAATGTATGCTTGCTACAATGAACGCTTGGCAGCAAATCCTTGGGCCCCTAAATTAACATACTAACGACAGATAAATTAATATTTCATATAAATAATTGCATTAAAAACGATATTTCTTGCCCGCACTTGATTAAAAAGGAAACATATTTCACATAATTTTATTTATTTGCAACAGCTGACGAGCGACGCACACGAAAAGTTGAGAGTTGGCCATCTTTTTGCTTTGTGTTGGCGTGAGCGTTGTCGAATTTTGGCTATGGGGACGGCTGCATTTGAATTCATGTATTCATAGTCAGCTGTTGAAGCGACGCCAACGCCAATGCAACGCCAAAGTTCTATGTGGACGGGCCTTAAGAATCAGAAGGATTCGATATTTATTAAAAGATGTCGTATTATTTTGGCCTTATCGGATTTGTGGTGCCTCTTTTGGACTTAGCAAATTTTCTTTTTAGGGCTTATGAAGAGGAAAAAATAAAAGAAGTACCTTTATAATTTTCGAAACTATGCGTATTCAATTTCTCTAGCCTCCTATATAAAAATATGAGTTTTCATAACAAGTGGACTTAGCAACTTTTCACTCTAAGCTAGCGAAATGCATTATCTGTAAATTATACGTACAAAATAAAAATATTTTCTTGCGTCATAATAAGCGTTCAGCAAAAAACAATATGGAAATACTGACGCGCTAAATATTGAACATGTAGCATTCGTGCGCGATCCATCAATCCATCAATATGGAATGCGATCCAAATATCGTGATAATTACTGACTGTGGGACAGAGCCCTTTGGGTAAGCGTAATACGGGTGATGGCAGCCCTGCACCTAATAAAAGCAATTGGCAACGTTGAACATAGGCGATTTCCATGACGTAGTTACAGTATTTCAACACGACTTAAGGTGAGTGTAAGTATTATCTGCTCGTAAACAGCAAATCTATTATGACATTGGAAGGAAATCTGATTAAATTCAAGAAACCACCCATTGAAATGTTAACAGTGTAGCAGTTTAGATGGACACTAGGTTTTTCTTACAATTTTAACAAGCATTAAGTCAGTTCCAGGTATTTCAGGATTTGCAGGTTTTACAGGTAAAGCGGTTTTCGCCATTAATAAACCTTATGGAAGGTGGCGTACGTTAACAGCTTCCTGTAAAAACCTGCAAATCTTGAAGTACCTGTAACATACTTATTAAAAAAGAGAAACATCGGAAAATAGCGATGTATCGATAGTTTTGGGGCGATTTTTTTCGGCATCGATGTTAAGGCCCGTCCACATAGAACTTTGGCGTTGCGTTGGTGTTGGCGTCGCTTCAACAGCTGACTATGAATACATGAATTCAAATGCAGCCGTCCACATAGCCAAAATTCGACAACGCTCACGCCAACACAAAGCAAAAAGATGGCCAACATACATGTAGCAAGCATACTTTTAACGTGCGTTCTGTCAAACCAACGCCAACGCCAAAGCCAACGCGAAAGTTCTATGTGGACCGGCCTTTAGTGTTTACGATACATCGAAATATCGATGTATCGATGTTGGCTCTGAAAATTTGCATCCCTATTCGCACGTGCTCCACTCGTATGGAATAGTAGCTTATGTCGAAAGGCTGGTTTTAGTATAATGCAGCATTCGCAGCATACCCTCACTGGCGCCGAGCCGTTGAAGAAATTTTGGATAAATAAACGTGCAAGAAATAGTTCCGATACTTGCACGTCCATATTCTTGTTAAGGGTCATCAAAAAATTCCATGTGTTGTAAATAATAAAGGGAATGCCGGATTATACTAAAGCCAGCTTCCCGACATAAACTACTATTCCATACGAACACAGAAATATAAATGTATCTAAAACTGAATAACTCAAATCAAATTGGATTGCATTTGCATAATATACCTAATATTGGAATCTGTTTTGATCGTAAAAAATACAACTTGCAATCATTTAGATTATAGTTTTGAAAGAAATTGATTGCAATCGTAAATTATGTAAAAATTGTCAATAACAATCTGCCTAAAATTTCTTTTCCCCATGTAACGGTTATAAAATACGTTAAATCCGCACTATCTGCATTAACAAAAAATATACATTGGAATATTTAAAATAAACCGATTCATATTTATTTTCTAGTAAGAATTGTTTCTTAATTGAAAGTATTTAACACTAATATAATGTAGTGGTTAATGTTTTAAAATGAATTCGCAATATGTCCGCAGCTCAGGTTGATTTAAAGAAATCCGTTTAAAATTTTCGAATTACATCTACTTGAATACAGGATAGGCAGGGTTGCATACAAATGGTAGTTCCGTAAATATTTAAAATATGTTAGTTCATTCAATATTTGCATCTGGGCCAATAAATAATAACAAATATAGCCGAAAAAAACAAAGTTTCAATTAAAACGAGTTTTTATAACCCCCCATAAAATTCCGATTAATTTTAAATACGAAAATAACGATATTTTTTCATGGGGATTTATTTTTTTAATATACCTTGTTTATACCTACACAAAAACCGGATTAGCAAAAAACCGATTAGACTCAACATATATTTCTTTACAACATTTATCCCCCTGTCTTTATAGCGCACTCGATAAAGTCTTATTCAAAAGTAAACAAAATTGCTATTTTTAAACGACATTTTTTTAATAAATAATTTGCGCGGTTGACCGAAATGGAAACAAACAATAATTGTAATTTATTATAACAATAATACGAATTTAAAACGGGCTGTATAAAGAAAACCAGCCTATTGTCACTTCACTTTCCAATGGTGCTGATTGCTGCAAGAATTATTTAGCGATTTAGAGCATAATCAACACAATATATGCACATAAATATGTATTATTTCACAGATCTCAGGGTCAGCTTAGAAATACGTTACCAAAATTATATAAAATTTAAGTAGGAATTATTTTTATTTATAACGTAAAAGCGCTATCTGACCCAATCTGATAAGTATATTTCCCCTAAAGTTAACCCATTTTATTTAATTTGTCTCTCGTGAAAATATATATTTTATTTATAATTTTCAGATATGTACATATATTTTAAATTTTTGCTTTAATTTTTGTCTCCTTTTAATATTTAATTAGATACCTTAAGATTAAAATAAGCTTAAAACGAAACAGCACAGCAACCCTTTTCTGTTCATCTTGAGAACACAAAAACCTCTTTTGTTAAAATTCGGCGCTGCACAAAATCCTGGCTTTTATATTTTCCAACAAAATACCACTTCGCAACCCTGGATTTTCACGAAGCGTTTCATTCGGGTCGTAGTTTGGCTACTTCGGGCCATTCGGTGTTGTATGCCATATTGGCTGCCATATTGTTCACACTGTCATCGCCATATTGAACACCCTGTCAACTAGCTGTCAACCCTAAGATATCTCACTTGTATTCTTCCACAATGACCTGCACCGCCTTCACGAACAAAATTTCAATTTTTTATTTTTTATAATTTTTTGTATTTCACATGGCACGCTTTGATTTAGAAGAAAAAATTCAGAACAGTGGTACACACCAAGGCACATTAAACAGGTAGTATCAGTAGAGCAAAAACAACATTTGCGTGTATTTTGTTGTTGCTTCTGGTATCGAAAGTGTCAAAAACTGTTCTGAATTTTTTCTTCTAAATCAAAATAAAAATTGATGCAACTTTCTTTCCTAGTAAATTTGTTTGCTTCTCGAAGCATTGATCCATCCTTTACAAGGGCCAGTAATCAGCGGTTGTGCTGCTGAGTTGGGCGAACGTTCCAAAAGCTGCTATTCAATCGCTTGTTTTGTATGGAAAAAGGTTTCACATGCAAATGGATTTTAATAATTCAGAATTTTTGTGAGAAAAAATTAAAAATATTTGACATTTTCGAGACCAAATAATTTGAAAATAAATCAAATCAGCTGCTCTACTGATACTACCTGTTCAATGTATCTTGGTGTGTACGTATGTATGTAAACCTGAGTTGCTCCGTAGTCCCGACTGCCGTGGAAACGAATATGGGTGTGTTAATGATAAATGATGCAATAGTTTTTATATTATATAAGATTATATTTAAATCTAAAAAATTTAATGCTTATGTATATACACGCATTTACTGTAGTTAAAAAGCAGTTTCTCAAATCTTTGTAGGCCGAACAACACAAAGTAGCGTAGCGCCTCTCCAGTAAAACCGGTACTCGATATCATATCGATAGCTAGGTGCTCGATTATAGTTTGAATAATTTGAAGCAGAGAACAAAAACACCATACAGTGTAATTATATTATATTATATTTATTATATAAAAAATACATTACTTTTTGTATGATTATGCTCTATTTAAGTTATAGTTGGTAATCTTTGCGTACAATTCATTTCATTAAATTCATTTCAAGGTGTATTAAACAAGGTGGTGTTGGGGCGACAGCTGAGTTTTTCGCCGTGGAGGCCATTACGTCAAAATGATGTGTTTGTTGTAACTCATACCAATGACAGTACGGACATCAGCGTATAATTTGTTAGTGTAATTTTTTACTTATATACGGCCAACACCACCTTGTTAAATACGCCTTGATTCATTTATTTATATCGATTTGTACAAACATGAATCATGGAGATGTATGCTGTCTGGTAACGCAATTATTTGACCAATCGAGTTTTATTTCTTTGACTGCATTCTTTAATTTTTTTGTTTTTATTGATTTACTCTTTTAACTTCATTCATGTCGTGGCTACAAACTTTTTCCAGTTTTAGTTGTGTTACTCTGATCATATCGTAGGAATAAATTTATTTTGGTCAATTTGAAACGCCCACTCGTTTTGAGGTAGATGTTCTCATCGTATAAAAAGAAGTAGCAATAGTATTTAATTTAATTGTGCAATACTGCATTTTACCGAAACGGACGCAGCCAATAGACGTGATAAGATTAACATTATTACCAGATAAGGAGTATGTTGATTAAACATCTGAAGTAGAACTTTTTGGATTTCGTGCAGACCTAAATTATACATATAAATTACTGTATTTTCAGCTATAACACGTTCAGTGAGCACGCAGAAACGCCTTTTGAAACAACGCAAAACCGGTGGCACTTCATTTGTTCCCGCACTTCAGCAACGCAATATGGGTCGTTTGGGGAAAGTAGATCCCAGTTCCTACTCGGAGCCCGAGCGCATCACCACCAAACACAGTGCACTTAAGTGGACAGTAGATTTTGCGAATACAAAGCTTTTAGGCAGTGTGACGCACCACTTCAATGTACTGGAGACCAACTTGCCTGCTATTGTAAGTGTGGTCGTGTCTGCTAACACATGTATATTTAATTCTGTTGTATTTTCAATAAATTGCTTACTTATGCTTAGCTGTTGGATGTGCGTGACATCACCGTTAATAATGCATCTATTTTATGTAACGGCGGCTCATCTATTCCAATAAACTACTTTGCCAGTGATCCTGTAGAGGATATTGGTGCTAAGTTGACTTTGGAATTGCCGGAAGGTACAGCTGAGGGAGAGTAAGTACAAAAATACACTTTTAAAGTTTTTAGCGGGAACACCGATTTAATTTTAGCATACAGTAGTTAGTTAAGTGTTGCAGTAGCCACGGCAAACTTATCTTTAGCCCTGAAAAGTCAACACCTCCATAAATTCTTATTCATAAATCAAGTGAGCTTATCGCTTTATGCATTGAACATATGTGTTAAGACAAGTTATAGTTTCTCATGATAATCGAAAATATAGTTTTATATGTTTACGAAAAAAAGTTCTTTAGACGGTAAACCATCGTGTATAAATTCAAAAAGAAAAAAATGCTCCTAAAAGGCTTCTAAAGTTTTATTTTCTTATACATATAGTCGATATATATATATACACTGTACTTATATACCTACATACATATATATGTGTATGCATAGTTTATACTTACCATTAAGTGTGTGACTAATTCTGCAAATGATGAATTTAACTTATGTTTAAACTCACAACCTTTCATTCACAACAGCCTTCTTGTACGCATAGACTATGAGACTTCTAATCGCGCTAGCGCCCTGCAGTGGCTCACACCAGAGCAGACTCTAGGCAAACAGCACCCTTATCTGTTTAGTCAGTGTCAAGCGATTCATGCACGTTCCGTACTGCCATGCCAGGATACACCAGCCGTGAAATTTACTTACGAAGCCACCGTACAGCATCCAAAGGAACTAACTGCACTGATGAGCGCCTTAATTGAGAAAAAAGAAGCAGGTGTAACCACATTCAAGCAAGAAGTGCCCATACCGGCTTATTTATTAGCCATTGCCATTGGAGATCTCGTTTCTCGTCCATTGGGTGCCAATTCCAATGTCTGGGCAGAGGCCGGTATTGTAGACGCTAGTGCTGAGGAATTCTCACAAACTGCTCAGATGTTGAAGACTGCATCGGACATTTGTGGCCCATATGTTTGGAAACAATATGACTTGCTGGTTATGCCGCCATCATTCCCCTTTGGGGGCATGGAAAACCCTTGCCTTACTTTTGTGACGCTCACATTGCTGGCCGGTGATAAGTCTTTGGCAGATGTAGTGGCACATGAAATTGCGCATAGCTGGACTGGTAATTTGGTTACGAATAAAAACTTCGAACATTTCTGGTTGAATGAGGGATTCACTGTATTCGTTGAAACGAAAATTGTGGGACGCATGCAAGGCAATAAGGAGCGTGATTTTCATATGCTGCGCAATCTGACCGATTTGCAGGAGTGCGTGAGTACAAAAATCATTTGAAATAAAAGCTCCTACATTTTTTATACTTACTACTCCTTTTTTAATATCTCTCCCACAGATCCGCACACAATTAGCTAATAGCCCGGAGCTGACAAAGCTAGTTGTGGATCTATCTAACTGCGGCCCCTACGATGCCTTTTCCAGCGTGCCCTACATCAAAGGCTCAACATTCCTGCGGTACATCGAAGATCTACTTGGTGGACCTGAAGTGTTTGAGCCATTCCTACGCAGCTACTTGCAACAGTATGCCAACAAATCGGTTGTGACTGACGATTTCAAAGCTGCCTTGTATGATTACTTCAATAAAACCGATAAGAAGGATAAGCTAACCGAAATCGAGGAGGGACTGCCGCCAATAATTCCAAAGTAATCATATTAATATACATAGGTGTTAAACTTAAACAATAATTTCATACATATGTATTTTGTTGAAACATTTCAGATTCGATGAGACACTTGCAAATGTCTCAAAGCAATTGGCCGTATTGTGGAGCACCAAGTCCACTGCTGACCTACGCCTCGACACGCAAATCACTAAGTCCATTTCTTCTCTTCAACTAATTGATTTTCTAGGCAGATTAATCGAATGCCAAGAAATAGTCGAGTTAAATGAGGATAAAATCGAATTGCTTGAGAGCACATACAATTTGAAGAGCACAAAGAATGCCGAAATGCGCTTCCGCGTCTTGCGCTTAGTTATCCGAGCACGACTGCTGAAGCGTATCGAAGAAATCATTGCATTTGCCAACTCGAACTTCCGCATGAAATTCTGTCGTCCAATTTATCGTGACCTAGGCCAATGGGCCGAGGCTAAGCCTATTGCAATTGAAAGCTTCCAGCGTGTCAAGGATCAAATGATGGCGGTCTGTGCGCATACAATCGAGAGGGAGTGCGCGACGGATATTAGTTCAAATTATTTGACAATGCTCTTACACTGTGTGCTGCTTTTCATAGTAGATAACTGCAAATAAGAAAATTTATTTTAGATGATGGCAGATTTTTACGCATTTTCATGATGTGCTTATTGGAAACCATGCAAATTATATACCAGCACGCATCTAGATCATAACGCAAATAAGATCGTGGAAAGCCTAAGCACATCTTTTTTAGACTGCAAACCGGATGATTCGAGGAAAAGGAGTGCGGCATGAGTTATGGTACTCTAAATGCTGTTGGGTCCCTTCACTTAAATCCATATCACAAATTTTCCATATCACCCTAAATGGATTGTTGTCCTTCGTCTATTTCAAAATTTTTTTGGGCCTGTTGATTTTAATATTAGTGTTTTATTAAAAAATAAGCAAAACTATGATTATAACAAGATGACTTTCTGTTCCATGCTTAGCCATTATTACTTTTAGGCTGATTTCTAGTATTCATTTCGTGTGCTTTATTTATTTATTTTTTTTTTTAATTGTTTTATTCTTATTTATTTCAAACGCCTGAAAATCATTGTAATCGGCTAGCATTTCATTGTATTCATGATTTATCTTTATTATTAATGATTCAATTTCTTGTTTTATATATTTTGGTTGCAGTGTTTTTTTTCGTTCATTATTTTTACTATTTATTTTCTTGTAATTGTTTCAAATTACATTTGTTCTTCTAATATCAAATATTATAACTACCGGCTGCAGGATAATTTCCAAAAAAAAAATATTATATGTTTTGCTGATTTTTGGATGTACACATTTATTAATGATTTTACAGTTTAATTATTATTTTTTAAACGTTTGCCTAGTTACTGCAAATGACTTTTTTAATGATTTCGCGAATTTATGCAAACTTTTTGTGCCTAATGTTTTGGGTTTCTTTTTGTTTTTTGAATTAGTTCTTTCTTATATTGCAACTACATATTACCCAACCCCAGCTCCGACATGCTTACATTTTTGTTGTAGTTCCTTCCTAAACATGTATTTACCTACGTTGCTGTTGAGGGTTTTGTTGAATGGCTTTGTAATTTTACTTTCCTTTTTTTTGGAAATATTAAAATGCTTGAAATTGAATACATAACTTACACTGTGCGAAACGATTATGGGGTAAAACTTGGGAAAAAAATTTCGCGGTTATAAATAGTAAGGTGTTTTTTCTAGTTAGAAATAATACAAAAAGTTGTGCTTATTATTATTATTTTTTTTCATTTCGTTTTAAATTCTCGATTTAAAATTACGGTTATAAATATTCGATAATTTATGAAAAGCAAACTTAGTTTTTTTTTTCAAATATTAAATCGGGTTGCCAAAATTTTTAAAATAAAGGGCCGATTATTTCTGAAAATTTAAAAGATCTATATATCTATATTTGAAATAGTTTTTTTTTAGTCAACAATAGAAAATATTTAATTATGTAAGTCTTTATGGGGTTCCAGTTGAATAATTTCAGTAATGCGACATAACGAATGTATTAATAAGTATGGACCACTTACAAAACGAATTTCCTACACTTTCGACTTTATTATTATTCATTTGTTGAAATAAAACCAACGCACTTAACAATATACATATAGCACCGACTAAAAATTTACATTTTCGAGTTTTTGGTATGCTATCTAAAACAATGACCTATGACTAATGAATGATAAAACTATTACAAATAAGCAATATTTAATGAAAATAATATTTACAAGCAAAAAATAAAAATACAAAATTCCACTTGCACAGTGTACAATTTACCGAACATTTGCTAGCAGATATGCAATTAAATGAAGAATTGCAAAATATTTCCTTTTACATACACAGTTACGCATTTTTCTCAAAATTTGGGACTCATAAAAATCTGAGTCCACTTCAAAATGATTTTTTAATCACTACTGGACGCAGTACACTCTAC